GTTTGAATGCACTGAGAAAACACGGTTGAGTGTTGAGTAGCACACTCAGTACGTGGTAGTCATACAGCAGTGCACAGAGAAGTCATACCACGGTTGTACTTTTGAGTCTCTCACCTGGAGTAATATTGGCTGTGTTTTCGCCTTCGGAAAGTTGCTGTTGAGTTTAGGTCATTTCTTGTGCTTTTTCCACTCGATGGAGCTTTATTAATGCAGGCACACCTGCTTCCACGGCAAGTTATTTTATCGCTGCTCACAAACCAACATACTGCAGACACCTCTGATACTGTCACTGCTTGTGGGTCACGTGTCCCTGCAGTCAGCCTACTATACCACGTTCATGCACGTCTACAAACATTACTGCTCTAGTACAGGAGCGAAAGACGAAACGAGAGCTCACCCACTTTAAAAAAGCACATTTGTCAAAGCCTAAAGTCAATGAAGATGGGATTCGAACCCAAGCGTGCAGAGTACAATAGATTAGCATTCCATCAACTTAACTACTCAACCACATTGTCGAGAGCCTTAGCTCCGTTGGCCATGAGTTACCTCAAGATAATCATCTTTCCCTGTACTCGAGGGTCATTTTCCTCTTCCATCTGCGATTTCAACATTTTCCTTGGGAGATGTCAAGCCACCGAGCCTGTGTTGCACTTCAGTGCCGGCTGTAGTGGACACCCTGTAGAACATCAAAAGCATATTGAGCTCCTTGGTCATGAAATTGCCAGATAAAAACCATTTCCCATCCTTCCTCAACTTGCTCGGTGAGCAGGCTGAGCGCACACCGAATGCAGATATATCAGAGTGGTGTGTCTGAGTGCTTGTAAAAAAGCAGTACTCTGCTGGTGCTGGGTTCAAATCCCAGTGGTGTCTTTCTTACTGTCTTGCCGAACAGTTTATAGTTATAGACAGCACCATGCTTCTGCATTATGTTTAATGGATGTGTTCATTTAGTTTTTGGCACAACTTGTTATTCAAGAAATCCACACATTGCGAAAGATAAAATGTAGAAGAATTACTGACAGCTGGCAAGAAAATGATGACGATTTTTTTTGTCTTTAGCCAAAAACCTGTGAATGTAGAAAAATGTAGAAAAATGTAGAAAAAAGACAACGTGTGTCAGTTTGGGAAGACAGGGAAAAAAAAGGCACCACTGGGATTCAAACTCAGAGCTTCTGTTTGCTAGATAGGTATATTAACCACCTAAGCCACAGCACCCGCGAAGCATTCTCCTTTTACATCCACTTGGAAACACCACTCTGTCACATCTTCGTTCAGTGTGCACTGAGCCTGCTCGCTGAGCAAGTTGAGAAAGGATGTGAAATGGCTCTTATCTGGCAATTTCATTACCAAGGAGCTTAAAATGCTTTTGATGATCTACAGGGTGTCCAGTGCAGCACAGGACAGGCGATGGACTGTTAACCCATTGTGTTCTGCACGCGAGTTCATATTCCAGGGTTTGACAAATATGCTATTTTTAAATTGGTTGTGCTTTCGTTTTGTTTTTCGCTCTTGTGCTAAAGTCGTAATGTTTCTAGATGTGCATGAACGTGGTATAGTAGGCCGACAGCAGGAACACGTGGCCCACAAGCAGTGACAGAATCATAGGTGCCTGCAGTATGTTGGTTTATGAGGAGCGATAAAATAACTTGCCGTGGAAGCAGGTGTGCCTGAATTAATACACCTCCATCGAGTGGAAAAAGTAACAGAAGAACCAACATAATTTCAACAGCGAGCTCCTGCAGCTGAAAACACGGGCAAGACTCCTCCACTGACACTGCACAAACACAGGGTTTTGGCTGTGTATCCATTTCCTCGTGGAAGAAAGAGACAGTAAAATAGCAAGGGAAATACAAGAGAAGAAACTGAAGTAATTGTGCTCACTGCAAAGTAGGAAGGACAGAGGTGACCGAACACTTGAAACAGCTCGGCGGAAAATTTGTAATGACATTCTTCGGTATCAATCAGCAGACATATTTCTGATCAGGTTCTGCTGTGCAGTTTGAACGTCTGGTTCGTTATATGAGATCAGCTGATATTCATTTGGACTAATCAGAATCAATACAATTGATGTCTGGGGAAGGCAAATAACCTTTGAACATGATCTGGGATGTGACTGGTTAAATTTAAACAGTTACAACCCCCTTTATAAAGGGTTTGCACACTTATGCAATCAAGGCATTGAAAGATTTTTATTATTATTATTGTTTCAAAAATGTTCCATTTGTTACTTCTGATGGAGCACTGTGTGCAAAGATTTAACAAGCTCAACTCCCGCCAATGATTCGGTGTGAAGAAGCAGAACATTCAAGTTTCACAGACAGAAGCAGTACGCCAGCACAACCAACATTAAAACACAGTACGATTTGCACTGACTTGAAAGTGATCTCAGCAGACGTTGTTCCCTGCATAACGCTAAAGGTGGCAAAGCGCATTTGGGTTGAAAGGATGCAGTAAAGCTTTTGTTTTCTGCCTTGATGTCAAGCTGATAAAGTATCTCTAAAAACTTTGGTTAGGTTCTCAAGAGACTGTCAAAACACATTTCCACCGATTGCTTTTCAAATCAGAAGAAAAAGGTTCACAGAAGCATCTGGTAGTGGTGGGATTCAAACCTATGCCTCCAAAGAAACTGGAGCCTTAATCCAGCACTTAGACCGCTCGGCCACACTACCCTCTATGCCTCTCTCCTTGTCTCATTAGTTGTTCGGAGAAAGCCAGGTGGCTTTCACTCATCGTCCGACCTCGTGGCGTTATGACCGTGGAACC